CAATAATAATAATAATAATAAGAAGAAGAAGAAGAAGAAGAAGAAGAAGAAGAAGAAGAAGAAAAAGAAAACAACATCTGCAACACCATCATTACCACCACCAACAACAACAACAACAACAAGAGGACCACCACCATCACCAACTACAACAATAACAACAAAACCAAGAACAGCACCCCCAACGCCAAGACCACCATCACCACCGACAACTACAACAACAACAAAAACAACAACAACAACAACAACCACAACGACGACAACAACAACATCAATTACAATGCCAACAACAACTACAACAACAACAACAGTAACAACAACAATAACAAGAAGGACCCCTTAAATCTTTTCTTCCACCCCATCCACAAAAAAACACCAAAAAAAAACCCAACCCCGAAACCGATATCAAAACAAAAAACAAAACAAACCCCAACGTTTTTCCCCCCTCAGCCGGTGACATATTCCTGAACCACGCTAAGGTGACTGAGAAGGACATCAGCGCCACCAACGGAGTGATCCATGTCCTGGACGAGGTGCTGGTGCCCATCAGCGTTCTCCTCAAGATAGAAGAGGCGGGACTGTCCTTGGTTGGATAGACTACAAAAATGACGTTTTGGTGCGCATGCACACGAACTTCAGGACTGGCGAAATGTTTCACTACGCTTGAGAATTTTAGATTTTGCTTGAGAATTATTGTGGATTTTGCTTGAGAATTTTGGATTTTGCAGAGTAGAGTCGCCAGCAATGGAGAAATAGCTTTGTGGGATTCAGTTGATTGCTTTCAATAGACGATGTTGGTCTTATTTAGAATTTTAAAAGAGTGGCTCTAATGTCTTGTTGATTAATATTCATTGTTAATCGCGCTGTTCTTATTAAAAGTTATCTGTCTGTACTTTTTAAAGATGTTGGTTGCTTTTTTTTTTTTGGTTGCTTTGAAGTGTTTGATTATAGTATGCAGTCAGTGTTTCTGTGCGTGTATGTGTGTGAAGGAGGTGGGGGCAGGGGATATGTGAAAGTTTTGTTTTTTTATATTATTTTTTGGGTAAGTGTTTTACGGCGCTCGCAACAGCATAAAGTCATATGAGTGAGCGGGACACATTAAACGTCAGTTGGTAGGATATCTTGAATTTTGATCGTGTGGTGCCGAAGCATACTCTTATCGATTTTAGACCACTAATGCATCTTTAACGTGCGCAACTTGCACACAGGATTTCCGAGACTTTTCGTTCTCGTCCGAGAAGGCTAGGTGTACATCTTTCCTAACATAAGATCAGGGATGTGGCTGAAAGATAACAGTAAGAAGGAGCCAAGGAGTAGCAGTAGAAAGGTTGGGGAAAGCGTCAGGAGCCCAAAGGATGGGGCAAAGGGGGTCATGAGGTGGAGGCAGAACATGGAGACGAAAGCAGACAACAGAACATTGCTAAAGAGCAACGGGAAAAAGGTGAAAGGGGGCAATTTTAAAAAAGAAAGTTTTTTTCGGTCGCTATCCGGATTCGAACCTAGGACTTTTGAATGAGAGGCGAACACTTGAACCTTTAGGCCACGACAGCCCCTGTAAGTGAATGTATGTATATGAGTGCATTTATGTGTGTATGTATGTGTGTATGTATGGATGTGTGCATGAGTGTAGATTTGTATTTGTGTATGTGTGTATGTATGTATATTTGTATGAGTATTTGCGTGTATGTGTGTCTGGATGTGTGTATGAATGGCCGTGTGTGTGTATATATAAGCATATA